TTGGGTATAAATGAAGGGAGGTGCGTGCTTTGTAAGGAATAAAACCCCACTTGAATATCTCAATTTGTTTTTGAGATAACAATTTTTGAAGTCAACCCAATTTTTTAAAACGACGATTTTTAATAACATTTTTAAAAAATCGCTAAAAATTGGATTTTTACGATATAACAATGAAACTTGAGATACTAATAAGAGGAGGTGCTTGCTTTGTAAGGAATAAAACCCCACTTGAATATCTCAATCCGTTTTTGAGATAACAGTTTTTGAAGTCAACCCAATTTTATAAATTATCGATTTTTAATAATATTTTTTAAAAATCGCAATAAATCGAATTCTTAAGATATCCCGATAAAACTTTGGCTATTAATAAAGGGAAGTGCGTGCTTTGTAAGGAGTAAAGCCCCATTTGAATATCTCAATCCGTTTTTGAGCTAATAATGTTTGAAGTCAACCCTTTTTTTAAGACGACGATTTTTAATGATATTTTTAAAAAATCGCTAAAAATCGGATTCTTAAGATATCAAGATTACACCTTGGATATTAATAAGGGGAGGTGCGTGCTTTGTAAGGAATAAAACCAAACTTGAATATCTCAATCCGTTTTTGAGATAATAATTTTTGAAGTCAACCCAATTTTTTAAAACGACGATTTTTAATAATATGTTTAAAAAAATTGCTAAAAGTCAGATTCTTAAGATATCACGATGAAACTTGGGATACTAATAAGAGGAGGTGCGTGCTTTGTAAGGAATAAAACCCCACTTGAATATCTCAATCCGTTTTTGAGATAACAATTCTTGAAGTCAACGGGACATTTTTTAAAACGACGATTTTTAATAATTGTTAAAAAATCGCTAAAAATCGGATTTTTAAGATATTGAGATAAAATTTTGGGTATAAATGAAGGGAGGTGCGTGCTTTGTAAGGAATAAAACCCCACTTGAATATCTCNTGAAGTCAACCGAACATTTTTTAAAACGACGATTTTTAATAATTGTTAAAAAATCGCTAAAAATCGGATTTTTAAGATATTGAGATAAAATTTTGGGTATAAATGAAGGGAGGTGCGTGCTTTGTAAGGAATAAAACCCCACTTGAATATCTCAATCCGGTTTTGAGATAACAATTTTTGAAGTCAACCTAAATTTTTTATTACGATTTTTAATAACATTTTTAAAAAATCGCTAAAAATTGGATTCTTAAGATATCACAATGAAACTTGGAATACTAATAAGAGGAGGTGCGTGCTTTGTAAGGAATAAAATCCTACTTGAATATCTCAATCCGTTTTTGAGATAATAATTTTTGAAGTCAACCTAAATTTGTTATTACGATTTTTAATAACATTTTTAAAAAATCGCTAAAAATCAGATTCTTAAGATATCAAGATGAAACGTGGGATATTAATAAAGGGAAGTGCGTGCTTTGTAAGGAATAAAACCCCACTTGAATATCTCAATCCGTTTTTGAGATAACAATTTTTGAAATCAACTCCACTTTTTAAAATGATGATTTTTAATAATATATTTAAAAAATCGGATTCTTAAGATATTAAGATGAAACTGCGGATATTAATAAAGAAAGGTGAGTGCTTTGTAAGGAATAAAACCAAACTTGAATATGTCAATCCGTTTTTGAGATAATAATTTTTGAAGTCAACCCAATTTTTTAAAACGACGATTTTTAATAACATTTTTAAAAAATCGCTAAAAATTGGATTCTTAAGATATCAAGATGAAACCGCGGATATTAATAAAGGAAGGTGAGTACTTTATAAGGAATAAAAGCTCACTACAATATCTCAAACCATTTTTGAGATAATAATTTTTGAAGTCAACCTAAATTTTTTATTACGATTTTTAATAACATTTTTAAAAAATCGCTAAAAACTGGATTCTTAAGATATATCAATGAAACTTGAGATACTAATAAGAGGATGTGCGTGCTTTATAAGGAATAAAACAACACTTGAATATCTCAATCCGTTTTTGAGATAAAAATTTTTGAAATCAACCAATGTTTTAAAATGACGATTTTTAATAAAATATTTAAAAAATTGCTAAAAATCGGATTCTTAAGATATCAAGATGAAATCTTGGATATTAATAAGGGACGGGGGGTGTGCGTGCTTTGTAAGGAATAAAACAACACTTGAATATCTCAATCTGTTCTTGAGATAACAATTTTTGAAATCAACCTAATTTTTTAAAATGACGATTTTTAATAATATAATTAAAAAATCGCTAAAAGTCGAATTCTTAAGATATCAAGATGAAACCGTGGATATTAATGCTTTGTAAGGAATAAAACCCCACTTGAATATCTCAATCTGTTTTTGAGATAATAATTTTTGAAGTCAACCCAATTTCTTAAAATGACGATTTTTAATAATTGTTAAAAAAAATCGCAAAAAATGGTATTCTTAAGATATCAAGATGAAATTTGGAATACTAATAAGAGGAGGTGCGTTCTTTGTAAGAAATAAAACCCCACTTGAATATCTCAATCCGTTTTTGAGATAACAATTCTTGAAGTCAACCCAATATTTTAAACGACGATTTTTAATAACATTTTTAAAAAATCGCTAAAAATCGAATTCTTAAGATATAACAATGAAACTTGAAATAGTAATAAGAGGAGGTTGCGTGCTTTGTAAGGAATAAAACCCCACTTGAATATCTCAATCCATTTTTGAGATAATAATGTTTGAAGTTGACCCAATCTTTTAAAATGACGATTTCTAATAACATTTTTAAAAAATCGCTAAAAATCGGATTCTTAAGATATCAAGATGAAACCATGGATATTAATAAGGGGAGGTGCGTGCTTTGTAAGGAATAAAACAACACTTGAATATCTCAATTGGTTTTTGAAATCAACCCAATTTTATTAAAATGATGATTTTTAATAATATATTTAAAAAATCGCTAAAAATTGGATTCTTAAGATATTGAGATGCAACCTTGGATATTAATAAAGGAAAGTGCGTGCTTTCTAAGGAATAAAATCCCACTTGAATATCTCAATCCATTTTTGAGATAATAATTTTTGAAGTCAACCCAATTTTTTAAATTAACGACTTATAATATTTTTAAAAAATCGCTAAAAATCGAATTCTTAAGATATCCCAATAAAACTTTGGATATTAATAAAGGGAAGTGCGTGCTTTGTAAGGAATAAAACCCCATTTGAATATCTCAATCCGTTTTTGAGATAATAATTTTTTAAAACGACGATTTTTAATAACATTTTTAAAAAATCACTAAAAATTGGATTCTTAAGATATAAGAATGAAACTTGAGATACTAATAAGAGGAGGTGCGTGCTTTGTAAGGAATAAAACCCTACTTGAATATCTCAATCCGTTTTTGAGATAACAATTCTTGAAGTCAACCCAATTTTTTAAAACGGCGATTTTTAATAACATTTTTAAAAAATCGCTAAAAATCGGATTCTTAAGATATCCAGATGCAACCTTGGATATTAATAAAGGGAAGTGCGTGCTTTGTAAGGAATAAAACCCCATTTGAATATCTCAATCCGTTTTTGAGATAATAATTTTTGAAGTTAACCTAATTTTTAAAACGATGATTTTTAATAACATTTATAAAAATCGCTAAAAATTGGATTCTTAAGATATAACAATGAAACTTGAGTTACTAATAAGAGGAGGTGCGTGCTTTATAAGGAATAAAACCCCACTTTAATATCTCAATCTGTTTTTGAGATAATAATTTTNTACGACGATTTTTAATAACATTTTTAAAAAATCACTAAAAATTGGATTCTTAAGATATAAGAATGAAACTTGAGTTACTAATAAGAGGAGGTGCGTGCTTTATAAGGAATAAAACCCCACTTTAATATCTCAATCTGTTTTTGAGATAATAATTTTTGAAGTCAACCTAATTTTTTAAAACGACGATTTTTAATAATATATTTAAAAAATCGTTAAAAATCGGATTCTTAAGATATCAAGATGAAACCGCGGATATTAATAAAGGAAGGTGAGTGCTTTATAAGGAATAAAACTCCACTAGAATATCTCAATTCATTTTTGAGATAATAATTTTTGAAGTCAACCTAAATTTTTTATTGCGATTTTTAATAACATTTTTAAAAAATCGCTAAAAATCGGATTCTTAAGATATCAAGATGAAACCATGGATATTAATAAGGGGAGGTGCGTGCTTTGTAAGGAACAAAACAACAGTTGAATATCTCAATTCGTTTTTGAAATAACAATTTTTGAAATCAACCCAATTTTTTAAAATGACGATTTTTAATTATATATTTAAAAAAATCGCTAAAAATTGGATTCTTAAGATATAACAATGAAACTTGAGATACTAATAAGAGGAGGTGCGTGCTTTGTAAGGAATAAAACCCCACTAGAATATCTCAATCCGTTTTTGAGATAATAATTTTTGAAATCAACTTAAAATAATATTTTTAAAAAATCTTCGGATTCTTACGATATCTTAATGAAGATATTAATAACGAAAATTGAGTACTTTATAAGAAATAAAGCCCCACCAAAAAATCTCTCTTCGTTTTTGAGATAATATCTTTTAGAATTACTATTAAAGAATACTTAGAAGATTTTCGATGAAAACCAGCCCTCAGAAAGTGAAATGAAATCAGTTTGTCTCACCTATTATTAAAAGAAGTTCGACCCCTTTCAACACTTTCACCCCTTTCAAAAGACGCTTGATGGCTGGCCGGGGCGCTGTGAGATATCGTTAAAGAAGTGTAATCCTTCGGTTGCGGTAAGGGAATGGTGGTAGTGGTATGACCAGCAGCGGCGACTCCGACAGCACCTTGCGGTGCTTCCGTTTTCGACACCCAAGTCTGGTCCAAAATGGGTGTCGGGGAATTCGACGTCAACGGACTGAAACAATTTTTCTCTTCAATCGAGACTAACACCAAAAGATTTCTACTTTTCCAACTTTACAGAATCATTGTGATTAATTAATCAATAAGAACTCACCATTGTTCAAGTGTATCAGCTTCTTCTTCGGCAGCTGTGACGTCGCTGGGCGGTGTTAAGTATCCGGTTAATCTAAATCCGCGTCTACTCGTTCCGAATCTTAGGCTTTGTCTAAAAGAAGCCCTTGCTCTATCGACTAATAAATTTTTTTTGGTTTTATTTAAATAATTATGTATTAATATTAATTAGTTACATTTACTAAGTCGTGCTTTTCCTACTGGGCTATTTTCCAATGAGGCAGATGGCGCAGTTGTAAGATCCTCGAAGTTGATAATAATCAAGCTTATGTCATCCACCTCGCTTCTGATTGGGGCTATCACCTCCGAGCAGAGGAACTTGGATCCTAAAACATAAAAAAAAATCAAAATTAGGTTAAATATTGACCCTTATTGCTACGCACGCCATCTGGCGGAACTTCAAACATCTTATCAGTTCGTTGTCTTATATCTAGGGGAGAATTCGACCCATTTTTTTCTTGGTAAAAGAATTTTGCGTGTATTTTATCAACACGAAATATCTGGTGGTAATTATACCAAGTATTATTGTAAATGTGACATACGAAATAATAATACTAAATAAAGTAATCAAAAATTTCAAAGCTAATAAAGATGTTATCGTGAAATAGAAATTAGAGGAAAAAGTTTTTTGAGCAATAAAGTATAATTTTTGTTGCCAGAAACACATTAAGAATTTCTTTGTGCAAATTGTTCGGTCAAGTTCGCGCGATGTAACGTAGATTGATCGTCGAATTGGACCACGACTTCTCGAAGTAAATTGAGCGCCTGCGAAAAATGTCCGCATTGCAGATACGTCGTAAGGCAATTAACTGTTAGTCATTCTGTAGAAAGTAAAATTTACGTTTTAAATTTTTCGATTAATGAGATCTCAGCCTTTGGCATTTCGGCCCGGGGAAAAATGTTGGCAACAATTTATAGGATTAGACATTTTTTTTGGCTTGTAATTCTCGGTTACACCATAAGTTTTTGGCACAATAGACCAAAACGAATAAATCTACACCTTTTACATCCTTCTTTTTTTTTATGACACGATCGGAAGTAATAAAAAAAAAAATCGACGTAATCTATTTCTAGAAGAGGAATAATAATCGACGTCGAACGATCGTGACTATAAACCATGATTTGGAAACAACACAAAATAGATTCAAAATCACTTTTTTTATTTATTTATTTTTATGTGTTAAAGAAAAATTGTATTTTTCGTTTCAAAATCGATTAAAACAACGAAGTCTCGTAAATCGATTATGGCGCCCCCTTTTTGTTTTTCCATGCACGTAGATCGTTTATCACCTTTTTATAAGTCCGTCCCGTGCTCGGTACTCCGTTATCTCTTCATCTAGCCACTCCAACCCAACCCCCACCATCTTGTTTGTTTCAAACGTTGTTGGAAAATGTAAATTGCAGTTGACAATTTGTAAGAAACATTTGCATTTTGAAGTTTCCGCAAACCGCATTTCCCCCATTATCACACACTAACAAAGACATCTTATTGAAATAAAAAAGGAATAAACATTGTCTCTTTTAAAATGATCAAAATGATAATTATGAGTTAATACTGTCTTATCTAAATCTATCCTCAAAACCTAAAGCGTAACCCCAGAAGGACGGATGTGGGCGTGTTCAAATCCTTGCTAACTGGATGTTTGGGCGACATTGGGTTGCGTAAGCCAACTGAAGGCCATGAAGTTGAGGAGTACCTAAATACTATCAGTGACTCCTTAATTAAGGCTTATAAAAAGGCTTGTCCCCTCCGATCAGAGGCCGT